TGTATATTCGGCTCAACTTAAAACTCCTGTGGCTCTTCCACTTTCCAGTATCTCAACGACCGCTGACTGGCAAATTTGACTTGGATGTTGTGGCTTTTGGTCAACCTAGCCTTTTTTATAAGTACCACTAGTATACTCCTAAGGTTGTCAAAGCAACCAGATTTTGCGTTCACTTTTACCAGCGGTTCGTTTCCATTGGAACTTTTCTTCAAGAGTAATTACTAGGCTTTTGGGGTCTTGGTGCTGCCAAAATAATTATGATAATAGACTGCTTCAAAGAACTTTCTACTGAAGTCGTCTAGATAAGGCGATCGGCACTCAAGCCCGATGGACATATGTTAGACATACTCGGTGCTGATTCCGATGTGAGTCCCAGACCAGCTGTAATTTTGTCAAATCTGTAGTTTTCATTTAACAGTAGTTTTTGTTTAACTACAAAAATTTCCATCTGTTTTTTAGTCCATGGGAACGGAAATGAGCATGAAAAAGACAGGCCGTCTACCGTTTGGATGACAAGCGCGTAATACTACGTTTTAGTCCCGAGGAATTGCCAAGAGATTTATTAACGGACGCGCTATTCGGTGATATAAAATTATTTTCTAGGCCTCAAGACGCGCTCATTTAAACCACCGGTCCGTTCGACCAAACCACTATAGTTTTTGACCCTGTGTATGTGCACGACGGATGTGAACAGAATGATTCCCACACCAGTTCCGATGATATAGCCCTGACGACCAAATACTCGTCAAACGATTTTGGTGCAGTTCATCCCCCGCAATTGACCCGAGCCCTTGGATCGCAATCTGGGCCAGCTATTTGATTTGGACCTTGTGAAGAGCTCCATCTGACTGAGCACAACAGCGTCTCTCCCATAAAATACGCCCGGTATCCGCACCCCGCATGTGGCACTGTGATCGCTTCCAAATGGACCGAACACCAGATGTGCACGTGTTGGCAGCCGCCTCCAGTGCATACACTGAGGTGCACAGCCATGCTCACATTCTTAATAGTCCCGAAACGCCTATGGCGATGGGCCCACTACAGCAAGGCCTAATAAACGACGGGTGTGAGAGAGCGAACATACTCCAACTCGCGTGATGGGTGTGCGCAGGCCTGAGAGACCCCGGACAGGACTTCACCGGTTCATCTAGCGTGTTGGTTAAACGGATGACAAGACACAGTCGACACCATGGATCTGCCTGTGGCTGCTCCAAAGCAGACCAATGTGTTGACGGCCACAGCTTACCGATTGCAAGGTAGTCGAATGTAGAAATCATTTCTTCAGCGGCGATGTTGCATGATAGGCCGATTCGCATGGTGCCAAACTGACGAATGCAGATGGTGGTGTGCGCGGGGTGTGCGATTTTAATGGTCATGGAAGGGACTGAGAAGCAATATGTCTTATCACGTTAAATATTATACCCTAATGCCTATTTGAACCAGTTAAACACAGGGATGAAACCTACACACTCCTATGGTTTTCTGAAATCGCTGCACTTTTGTGATCTACTCAGAGGGACGGTGTCCATTGTGGCTGAATTTCGAAATGTGAACTTCCAGACTTCTGCACAGAAGCTCTCAACTTTTCCACCTTGCTCTCTAATCGGGTAAATGTTCCACTCCTTCGCTTGGGATTAAACAAACAGTGAACGCGTTTCAGCCAAACCAACCTGAAATCCAGAAAAGTGAATTTGTAATAAGAATTGTCAGCAAAAAATGATTGATGAATTTTAAGGAAATTATTTACCTATTCCAACTCTGGAATAGATCGCCGGTTGTAGTTGCAAGTAGTAGTGTTCATTCGATTTATGGGGTAAAACCGAGGAACATGGAGTTAGGAGTAGAAGTCCATCACTGCAATAATTACCGAGTGGTGAATAACCATAAAGACGGTCAGTGAGGTAATACTATATGCCGATGCTTTAATGTTGAAATTAGAAAAGTTGGAAGGTCGACATAGGTGAACCAAATGGAAGTTCGCCAGATTGGTATTAGTAAGTTAGGTGGGTGTTTGATGAGAAATTCTTCGAAGCTAATAAACAGCCTTCGCATAATTGTCAGGCCACAAAGTATTATCATTACTACGTATGAAAAATGTGAGACAAACACAAAACTCGCGAGTTATAAAACACAAGAAATATCACTTAACCTTATTCAAGATCCCAGTGACGAGTGTGCACATTAAGCTGTCTGATTCCAGCTTGCACTGCACCTCACAGCTGACAGGTTCTGTCCTGGTTAAAGGGCTGGTTCAGTCAGAATGCTCCAGTCAACCTGGTCTGTTCGCTCAAATAGGATACACTTACTCCGGTGCTAGATGTTTCAGCTGTTTACATAGCCTCGGAATAACGGGGTGTGAATCTGTTAGTGTCCACCGGGTGACCCGTGTCCAAGAGAGCAACTGTGGCGCATTGGTGCTATTCTGTACAAAGTGGTGGTTTTTAATCCTGGCAATGATTACAGGTACGGATGGAGAGCTGACAGATCATTCGACTAACATGAAATGAGTAGTTCAACGTAGACGAGGTCAAAATCCACCGCTCATACATTTTAATCAAACTGTTGATAGACTGGTTATAAAGAAAAAAGGTGGACAGCACTAAGACGTTGGCTCTCAGGCTAAACGTCAGATGAGACCCCATGGCAGCTTAATGTGTACACTTTACACTAAGCTCTTGAGTGAGACCAGATTACATGTTCTGGGTCTTCCCTTATGTGAGCTCTCTGAATTCTACTCCAAATGTAATCACAATACCATGCAGCGGCCATCTGAAGACTAGTTTAAAAAACAATATGTTGATTTCAGAAGCTTCCTTTGCATAGAAGTGATGTGTATTTTAAGAACCGTTTCACGAAATATTTGCCTCCAGTTCTCTTAAAATAAGCGACTACGCTTGGCTGAGACGAATTCTTGATGGAAAATGCGTGCAGTCAAATCAGTCGCATGCTATTAAAAGCTGTAAGATCATGTGCATGTTGCTCAACCTACTTCCATGCCAGCTTGCTTCGCTTCATTGTTTTGTGGGTGGACCACCAAAGATCTGAAATAAAGATTGACTTTCCACTCGACTTTAGCTTATAGTTTATGGGAAAGTCCCTGTGATAAACTTGAAATCAACTGTAGAACTGTTAACATTATGTTTACCAACTCTGGACGTCCTGATACTACTACAGAATAAAGACGCGTCAGTTGGTTTACAAAGCCGTAAAATTTACTGGACTGCCCTCTAAAACAAGCCAGTCACAACGTTTAAGCGCGAACATGTTCAGTTGTCCAGAAGTGCTGATTCGGATGGGCACATCGTTGGGTGAGATAATGTCAACAAAATCGCCTGAAACACCAAATGTTCCTGTTTCCAATCCCAGCGTGGCGACGACTTTGTACTGCCAGTAACTTCGTCAGAGAGCGAAACTCGAGGTCAGTACCTCAGCTCTTTGGTGTGTACCCACCACAATAACTGTACTAGGACATGTGAATGCGGATTAAATAGTTTAATGAACCAGCAATCTCGCACCACGCCGATCCAATTTCACTCAGGTACATGTCGCTGGTGGTCACATCGGGACCTGCTGCTGTCTGATCATCAGCGTCACCGAAATACGATGTCTGCATTAGTGTGTGCGTCTCTGAATGACAAAAGTGACATGCGAAGCTTGCATCCGGGGTCTTGCGTTATGTCGATCTCCAAGTTTGGAGCGCCTAATCTCTCTCTCTGTTCGGGATCTTCCAAACGCAGAGTTTGGAGCGATCTCTCTCTCTGTTCGGGATCTTCCAAACGCAGTATCCTGCTTTGAAGGCCTATTTATTAGGGCATGACAAAATGCGAACTGTAATATAAACGGGAGTTGGAAGCAGTGTGGAGCGGAGTAAGGTAAAACCATATGTAAATTGGTGTGGGTTAGAAAGAATAAGCCAGACTGATTGTACTCAAAGAGGAAAATTCGGCGGTGATATCAGGTCATCAAGCTAACGTCGCCTTATTTGATAGTAGTTGCCCTCCGCCCAAGGGTAGTCAGTCGTGAATGTGGAAGGTAAAATTTGCAACAATATCACGGATGCGACAACAATTAGTTGTAAAATCGTTTCGAAGACTGTTGAAGTGTTCACGTCATGACCACTATACACCAGAAGTTTCGCTATGGTAATATGGGAGCTAACAATATATAAACCTGTCGCGTCCTTGAATTCATGCCACCATGTCAAATTCTGTATGCCGTCTTCAAGAAAAAAAGAGAAACGAAGGAAGAAAAATACGAGACATAACTCAATTAGAGGTTTGGGAAATGCTACATGCCACCATAACTAAACTAACCAACTCACTCCGAAAAACCCGTATGGTCAGCTAAATGCTTTGCTTTGTACATCACCTGACGGACACCATGACCTGGTTTAGGACCAAACTTGGTGACTTAGCTCGTCAAGCAATCCTGTCAATTCAGTAAAAAAACGTGCAAAGAAATCTAGAGGGTGGTGGGTACTCAAAAAAGATCATCCAAAATTTGGACCAACCAACCTGGGCTTCATCAAGAAACAAATGACCGACTACTAATGGGACACTGATTGGCGTGAAAGTCATATGTATCCTGACTGTCTGTGTGTATGTGTTTGAAACGTGGTCTTGGGACTGAGCTGTTGTGTTGTGTGCGATCTGTAGTGTCTGTAATCCGTTGTCACATTTACCATTCTTCCTGAACTTGAACCACACTTTGTAACTGTCGTTCACATTGTATCATGACGTTTGTTTTAATGTTACGAATACACAATTTTCCGGCGCGACCTGCTGACTTCTTGCTGAACGACTGTATTTACGCCCGTTGAACTGTTTGTTGACTGTTGAACCAGTGGGACTAAATCTCTGTGTTTGTGTCAACTGTTAAACGTCACAATAAATCCCTGTGACATTTTTTTAGCCGTGAATAATTTTCCTACCGTGGAATATATCACTCACACGGAGCCATCTGCAGGAAATCTCGACGAGTGAATATTTTCCTCTCACAGCCAGTTACTGCATTCGGATCGGTGTAGTGGACTACTGAACCTACGCATTCGTGAGTCCCCATTTGACTACTCATTCCTTTCCTATTGTGATTTTTGTGATTTTGCATTGGTTACTTTTGCTTGTTAATTTATCCGAACACGCTGGCTAGGTCCTAGTCCGCTACAGATCTGTCGCACCCGAGTCGCTTTTTTATTACGTTGAACTGGACGACTTTGGTGTGGACTCACCAGAAGGACTGCGCCGGAACATGAGAAGGACTGTTCAGAAGAGAGTGGTATGAGCGTGAATGACATCAGACCTGTTAACTTACAAAGTCGTTGTGATTTCAAATTATTTTTTCTCGGGTTTGGTTCCTTAATCCTCCACTTCGATGTGCTTCAGTCGGTGATCCACCTTGAGCGCCATTGGCAGATTTCGTTGGTTTGTTTGAACCTTTTACTGCCGTAATAATTTAGTTGTAGGTGGAGACCGGTGCACTTCAGATTTAAGCTATTTCTGTTAAAGGCTCCTCTTTCTGATCTTGTCTTGCTTCATCACGCCGAAAGCGTCCTCTGCATAAGGCCAGAATACCTTGGGTGGGTATGGGAATGCGTTTATAGATTCCTGTTGAAACTATTCCCCAAGAATATTTGCCAAAACCGGGGATATCGTAGATTTCACTGGTAGGCCATGTTCTTGAGTGTGGAGTTAAAAACGAAGTGAGTGGCCTGCTCGCTTAGCTTGAAGCTTTCGCGTCAAAAGCGAAACGTTGTCTAGTTAAAAACCCTCGACTGTTTACCAAGAACTTTTGGAACAAGTTAGGTTTGTTTAATCTATGTATACTCATGGGGTAGCCCGAGAGTGTCGTTTGGGTTAATCAGTTGGGACCTTCAATTAGTTCCGCTCTGTTCAACACTCTCGGTACTAGCGGTGTATTAGACACCGTCGCTAGAGTAATCGAGATCAAGCGGGTCTTTCCTGCAGATTCACGGCATCCGTTGTCTCTTATCCCTGTGGATGGATTGTCCAGTTGTAAGTGAAATGTCTCTGTCTATTACGTCGAAAATGTGTCTCCTTTGAGGAGAAAAGAGGAAAAATCAGCTGCATTCTTATTACTGGTTGTCTCGCATCACTTGAATGTCAGTAGAACATCTGTAAGGAATTGTTGTGCAGCGATTGGTATGAAATCGATTCTGATATAGCGGCTCATTCGGGTTAATTCTCGACATGGTGACATGTTTATAACTGTGCACCATCGTGTTTTTTGGACGGCATTAAGCGCAATTCTTTTGTGGAAGGTGGATAAAATTCTCAAAACTGGGTACTCAAAACCAAAA